TACGAAGCCTGGGTAAATGCTCTAAGAGTGTCTAGTTTCATTAAAAACGTTCCTCAAATCAGCACAAAACCAATCACTTTCCAGCAAAAGTTGTCCAGAAAACTCCTGCGAAATCAGCCGTTTTTTACCGATCGTTTTTCATTGAAATTAGCCTTGAAAATTCCCGCGAAATTCCCGCAAAATCGTCCATTTTTTCTGTGAATTTGTCCCAGAAAATCCAGTGAAATTTGACTTTTTTTCCTGCGCCCTACCAGAAGCCCTGTTAGTATGTTTATATAACAAACAGAATATTAAATGCCCGGTTGTGGATACAAATTTTATCTTCACATGGTCAACTCAATATCTCACTCATTCGCTGTACTCACTCGTGAAATATCGAGTTGAACACTTGAAGATAAAATTTGTATCCACATGTGCGTGTGTAATATCCTCTATATATCCTTGGTACAATTTGTGGGTATTTTTCTCTGTTTCATAATACATTTATTTATTACTAATAAATTACATTAACAATACACTCAGAACAAAGAAAAATACCAAATTGTACCATGGCTAAAATTGAACCACAACCTATACATGTTTATAGTATGCAGGGCAGCTTACATAAAATTTACAATATTTCATTATTTTTCTACAGTATGTATTAAATTTACTGTTAGTATTTGTATCATTACTTACATGAATGGCCTCATGGTTAGTATGCTTGTCTCTGGACTGAGCGGTCTTGGCCAGGGTCATAGTGTCTTGTTCTTGCACAAGACACTTTACCCTTACAGTGCCTCTCTCCATCCAGGGCTTGAAAAAAGTGCCGTCCGATTGTCCCAGACTAGTAGATTTTCCTTTTGGGCAAGTAACTTTTCATTCTCACTAGCTCGATGGGTAAGTGATCAATTAAGTCATCTACCAACTAAATCATGAAAGAGCAAACTAAGACTTCTCCAGGGCAAGCAAAATTTTAGAGCTACTTGTCCCAAGGGCAAGCTGGAATTCAACTTTTTTTTTCGAGCCCTGAAATGGGTACTGGCAAACTTAATGATGGGGGTAACCTGCGTTGGACTAGCATCCCATCCAAGGGGGAGTAGAAATATTCCTAGTCACTTCATGTAACAGAAACCGGGATAAGCTCCAGCCTGATGGGCTACTTGGCCCATATGTATACTTTACCTTTTACTATACTTGACACTGCTACTGTAATTGGAGCCTAGTTCATGTACAAGTCATGCATTTTCTGATAAATAAGAGTTACAACAAACATTAGACATCCATTTACTCAATGTACACATGTACAAGTCAGTTACAGAGAGTTCAAGCTTGAATTTGTTTTCACTTTATTTTCACAACTGCTTAAGCTGTTTATTTAACTGTAATGATCATGGATGTCTTTGCATTACAGAGATTATTAATAAAGGTGATAAGTCACATTGTTAATATTATTTTTCTTGTAACGTTGTATTTTCAGTGCCCCCACTCTTTGTGATAGAATTTTTACACAGAGTTGTGGACACGTTTACAGAGTACTTTAACAGCTGTAATGAGACGTCTATAAAGGAGCATATTGTTGTAGTATTTGAGGTGAGAAAAAGCTATGATCATTGATGAATACAGTTGTAGAAGTGTAGTTCTGTATTAAGCCATACAGTACGTGTATGCTTGTGTTCCAATTCATCCATTTTTCTTGAAACCAAGACGTCTTTTTTGTCATTAGTTACTTGAGGAGATGCTTGATAATGGCTTTCCTCTAGCAACAGAACCTAATATCTTACGGGAACTTATTAATCCTCCAAGTATTGTCAGACAAGTTGTCAATACAGTGACTGGTGGTTCACAGTAAGTAACTTCTTATTTTGTGTTGTTGTTGTCTACAAATCAATACATAATATTATTATTATGCTGTGGAAACATGAACATCTTGATACTCTTTAATTAACAGTTCAGTCATGTAGAATTTGATTATGAGTTCCAGAACTGCACAACAACTGAATTAGTGCCATGAAACAGAAACTACATGTAACTGTGTATTGATCATGTTGTTTCAGTGTCAGCTCCCATCTTCCAACTGGACAACTTTCTAATGTTCCATGGAGAAGAACAGGTGTCAAATATACACACAATGAGGTACGAATTGCTTTTGACACATTTCTCCAATGGTTGGTATCAAAATGAAGAGCAGTAAAATCATCAGCCAGGTGACAATGAAAGTTTGTAGAAGCACTGTAGCATTGGTGGCTATAAAGTGTGGTAACCTTTCTGGTCTTTGTGGTCTTCTTTCTGATTAGTGTACATACTTGTTACACATATGCAATGCTTTCAAGTGGTATACCATGAAATATTCCACAAGTCGCTTGTATTTTCTTGGGATACACACAAGCTTAGGTGAGTGTGTACACCAGGAAAATACAAGTGACAAGTAGGATATTCCATGGTATACCACGAGAGAGCGTTGCATAACTATTTTATACCATGCCGTAGGAAATACACAGTCAAAGCGACATATGCGCCGCGCATGATGGGAGGGTTGTATGTAATACTGTCAAATATACAACTGCTTTCCTGTATTCTGTTTGGCTGTATTTTCTATGGCATGGTGTAAAGTGTTGTAGACCATACAAATGTCAGGTTGACCATCAAACACTCCCCGAAGTGAATTTTCCATAAGAGGGGGGTGGCAGGGGGTGTATTTCTGGAACTACATGATTATAAGCAATGTTTACGGCTGGCTATCAGACACTTTCCACAAGTAACTTATAGCGCTGATGGTTGGTAATTTTTTACACATACAGTTTATAGGTATATTAAATAGAAATCAGTTTATACCTTATTCTGACTAGAAGATCTCTATTCTTTGCAGATTTACTTTGATGTCATTGAGGAAATTGACTGTATAATTGACAAGCATGTATGTGCACTCATTAAATCTGACTTTCATATAGATTGTGTGTAATAATGTTATTGTCCTTAGTGAACACATTTATACACTCTATATGCTTACTTACCAATAGATAATCTTTTTACCAGGGTTCAACAGTTTTTACAGAAATCCAAGGAGTGGTTAGTATGCACAGTGTACATGTAATGTCTTCATCATTTTAAGTAGTCTTTATAGTTTTTTTTAATTTGAAGTAATTACAGTAAATATCTTCATGTGCTTACACTGGGGGAAAACCACTATTTATTAGTGCCAGGTAGTGAGTGCTAGTTATGAGTGCTAATTAATATTTTTTTTCTCCTCACTGACACAGATTGATTCATGTTGTAAGCTGTCAGGAATGCCAGATCTCTCACTATCATTTGTCAACTCAAGATTGTTAGAGGACCCAAGTTTCCATCCTTGTGTGAGATTGAAAAGATGGGAAGTGAGTTTACACTACAATAAATGTGTTATCCAAGTGCTCAAAGAAAGGATGAAGTAAATAATCTGCAGTCTTAATCCTGATTTGTCTGCAGTCATCTTCATACAACACACGGCATGGTGCAAGGTGACCCTGCACTCCCACCTTGTCCTGTGCTGTGCATTTTTTGAAGTTGTAGGAAGAAGACTAAGGATCCCTTTCTTCCTACCCATCTCACACTGTGCTCCCACCTCGCCCCGTGATGCGTGCTGTATGAAGTTGTATGGAGACAACTGGGGACAAGTTAGGTCTGAATCCATAACAAGTTTTACTCATGTATATATGTACATGTAGCTGTACATGTAAANTGCTAAGCTGCTATAAAATATTTCTCAAGAATACGTGCAAATCTAAAACGTCACAACCGTGTTTACATACTCTCACCTAAACACTCCTAGCTACTCCTATCGACCAATGAGAGCACGTGTAGTATCTCAGTTATTTAATAATACCGACTTATACATATGGGTGAACAGAGCCCAAGGTTACAATGTGATCACGGAAACCAGGGGTGCTCTCCATTATGCCAAACCGAATGGTCACATTTTCCGATTAAACCGGGTCAACCAGTAGGAATGGCTCTTACCATGTTTAGTCCTTTTCCGAATTCCCTAATTAGGGCAAAGAACCGGTTTGTCAAAAATGGAACGGTAAATTTCGGTCGGAATATTCCGACTGAAATAAGTGGACCACCTCCAGAGGTGATCCCGAATATTCCGGTCAGAAGAAACCGAAACGGACCTTTCCATTTGAATTCCGACCGAAATTTCTGAAATCTTTGGCATAATGGAAAGCATCCCAGGACCACCCAGACAACTAAAACCAATCAGATGGCAGAACTGAAACAATAGATTTTCCAACATTTTCGAATCGAGCCAATCAAAGGTCCGGTACAAAGCAGTGAAATATCATCTTGTTTGTTGTGATGCTTACGCAACAACGGTGCCGCCCAATAAACTGTCAAGCTCAAACTGTTAGTAGTTTTGCATGCTTGCAGGTTTAACCCTTTGAATACCAAACTTTCGCCAAAAAATACCGTTTTTAACCGTTTAGTCAGGTTTTATAAGCTGCCATGACGCTAAATAAGCCTAAGTTTTGCTAAGAAAGCTTTTTTTGCTATTGGAGAGATTTTTCGAGGATTAGGTACAAAATTGAGCAAAATTTCAATTCCCGGCATGCGCATAAGCCAAAATTTGGACACTGGCCACCTTTTGCATTGTATGTTCTTTCTGGCTGCGTGAAAAGTTGGATGTTAATTACGGGCGAAGCCTAGAAATGGACCTTGATCAATCATAGGCGTAGTGGACCATTTTACCACCGTTTTTGCACCAAAACTGATTACGTTGTTTTTCGATTTGCAACGTCGGAATGTCGTCGATATCTAAACCTGACCGATGTGCCGAAAGGCCTAGCCTAGTACTACTATCTACTTATCAAGAATGTCTGATGACATTTAAATTGATGACGTCACAAGTGGTATAAAGAGCACGACCATTAATTACGCATATATGCGTAGTTGGTATTTAAAGGGTAAAGAAGAATTATATGCTGCACTTTCTATGGGGTCGTTGGTTGGTTTACACAATACATGAAAAGAAAAGCTGCGTGAGGGTAGCACTCGTAAATATATATTGCCAGCAGATTGAGTGGTACAGGGTTTGAATAGTGTCACGGCTGGTTAAAAGAAACTCTTCAAATAGTCTCTTGAGTAGTTTTGCATGGGCACAACAGGTTCGAAATGTACAAATTGGAAAGGGATTATTTTCGATGTAACTGAAAGGAGCTGAAAGCAAACTTCAAACAAGAGAATTGAAAAGTTAACCTGACACAGAAATGGACTTGTAACCTGAATTCTTTGTTCGAAATATGTCCAATTTTTCCATCCAGGGGAGTTTCCTATATGCGCCATCGTCTTTTGTTTTTGTCTGAGTGATTTTACACGCTGAGGCTTTAATAGTGCAACGTGGAAAAAATTCATTTAAATTTGCAATGAAGATGTCATTTCAATACACTGATAACCCAGAAACTCAAACTCCGATGTGTACAGCTGCTGAGACAGTGAACGCAATAGTTTTACTGAGAACTGCGTGGTGGATTTCATGGTCGGTTGCATTAATGACAACCCAAAGATGTGTTAATTCAGCATGTGTCTTTCCCAAGAAAAGGGCTCAAAGATGGCCACCCAATCTGGAGTTCAGGACACAAACCAATAAGTCATTGTGTGCCATAGAGTACTCAACAAAAAATTATTAAAAGATTAAGGCATCATCAACCCCCCCCCTCCCTACCCCCCAACACCCACTGCTTCCCTAATGCCACTGGCTTTCCTGCTGCCCCCTCCTTCCCCACCAAAAAAATCACAATGCTACCAAAATTACCATAAGCACCAATTTTGTATTCAAGAAATACATCCTAATGACTGTTTTATAACTGTTTGCCATCCTGGATCAAATTTCTCATAATTACAGGACAAATCAAGCCCAGTCTTCCATAGGAAGCCCTCGTAGTACTGTGCCTTAGGGTATAGGAGAGGTCAAGAAAGATCGACTGTATTTACACGCACAGGGAGTAGAGGACTCTTATTTGACAATATTTTATCTCCAGCTAAATGCACCGTACGTGCAATTACAGCACGAAGCCAGAGAAAAGTAAAGTAATTGTACTTGGTTTATCATCACCTAAAGGCTAACACAGTGATTTTGTTTATTAAAATTGTTCCCAGAGTTCTCGTTGGTACAAGAACTTTTTTTTCAAACTACCTTGACCATTGACTTTTAGCCTGAAACTGTTCACGCTTAAGATGATAACAAACCAAGCAAGTAGTCGTTAACTATCTAATAGTATGTCTATGTATCCTAAATGTTCTCTTCCATATTTTGCTATCATATCCTGAATGAATTGTAGCTTAAGCTTTTTCACACACCTGTAAAAAAATAAAAACAAAATACACCACCCTCAAATATGGGCAAAAATACAATAAATAATTAGAAGACCTAGATTTGCTTGGAAGGGTACAGTAATTTTTACTGCAGATTTCCAGGTAAAGGAAAGGAAAACTTTAAAAAAGCTTAAGAATTCATGTTCCCAAGCTCATCTACAGCATTCATAGATGATATTTTGCCAACATTTTGAAAATTAAAGATTACAAATAGAATTTTTCTTTGAATTGATTAGATTTCTATTCACAAACACTGTTACTAATGTAGTAGTTTGTGCTTTGTTTGCACCCTTTTAAACACTACCTGCCATTAAAGGCTTACCATTAAATTTTGGAAAAAAATAATGCTTACTCTGCATATAGAGAGCTGGCCTTGAACTTAAAGAAGTCAAGTGAAGGTGGGTGAGGCATATGCACGGTGAAGACATTTGGCAACACAACAAATTCATATCTGAGGGGAAAATGTCTGAAGTTAGCTTGCTACCATTTTCTACTAAAACAACAAAAAGATTACAGAGTAATCATGATTACTAATGTAAAACACTGTTGACCGAGACTGTTTTCATCAACAAACTAAAACTGATTTTTTTTTTCTTGTCACTTCATGACAGACGTCGCCAGTCTCATCAGGCTGGTGGCCAAAGCCCTGCCAGAGTGCTCATAACCCTGCACTGGTGGATTTGTGACAAATGTGTTTAGCTGCAGAAGATCTTACAATAATGAAAGGGTGTATTTGCAAAAATTATTATAATATAGGTGTTACGTCTGAAGACCTGTCCCAAGAGGCTATTTCCAAGATGCCTCTTGCCTCTGTGTGAAAATGAGCCTTTTTGTAAAACTATTCATATGAAAATGTGTTTCATCTGTGCCATTATTTTCATGCATATCAAACTCATGGATTTTTCATATGAAAAGTTTGCACAACAAATCGCTTTGAAAAAGAGGTAACAGGTAACTCAGATTTGGCCAATTTCTTTGGTGAAAGTTAAGTAAACTGAAAACAAAAAAAATTCAAAAACGAAATACATTATTATCTGATCACCCACTATTACACTCAACTTGCTTTTGCAATTCACAAGTTAAAAGGACCCAGGGGATTAAAAAAAAGGAAATGAATACGCACACTGTGGTGTCAAACTCAGCTCATGACTGACGTTTTACAAATCAGGAAGAAAAAAAGTGAGGCTAATGAACTCATGAGCCAAGCAATGAATTTTTCTATTATCTTTTTGCAATAATGTCTGTGTAGATGTAATCAGCTGTAACTAACCCTTGAGCTTGTAATTCCATGATGTGAGTCACTTTATTCCATCCAAAACCCACAAAACGTCTGTCATATCTGCTGACATTACTTCGTACAACCACATAAGGTTCAAAGTCTTCTTCCCATTGTATCTGTAATAAAGGATTCACACACCGTACATGTACTTTAGCCAATATATCAATACAAGCACTAAGTGTAAAGTGCATTGTCATGCATTGAATGAGTTTAGCAAAAATAACATTGCCAATTTTGAGCCTCTTTTTTAAGGCAGTTTGAAATTTCCTCCATTAGATTCTTCTATTCTTTTTTACTTTTTACTCTGCTAAAAAAATTTACATCAAGACCTCAATTTTCTCAAAATTGGTGGTCTTACTAAGTGAATTTTATAAAGGTAATTATAGAAATAGAAAACAACAGCACTATGTTTTCAGAGCTTGATTTAGTTTTCCATCAGGCTCTGAAAACAGTTTTCTTTATTCCTGAATAAATCTGAAAACAATTCTCAATGCATGATAAAGATTGTAATGTACAAATTGGTCAAACTACACGTACTTACGTAATGTATTCTGATTATTCATTTTAAGAAATTATGTTTGTTTGTTCAGTTAGAAAATTGCAAGTAAAAAACATGACTGGTTTACCCTGAAGTACGTACAGTGTAAGGTGTAGTAGCTGTTCTCCACTTTGCATAGTTAGTTGGAGCGTGGCCCTTAATCCACACACGTTGCCTGAAATTGAACGTGGACTTCAGTCAAAGTAAGGGTAAGCTATTTAATAGTGGCATTGCACTGGCCTACGTATCAACATTGAACAACACTAATTTGATCCTCTTTGTGGTGTGGTAAGGTAGTCTGTGGTAAGTCTGTGGTTAAAAAAAAAAAGAGCCTTGACTACCCCTTCTCTTCTGGCCAGCACTCATGTTTGGTTCCCTCTTAGACTAGGAGTATTTCTACACCCCACAAGATGGGATGATACAAAGTTACCCCCACCCTCCCCCCACCCCCCTGCATTACATTTGCTGGTACACATCTTTACACCTGGTTGGAGAGAGGGACTGCGAGAGTTAAGTGTCTTACCCAAGAACACAACACAATGTCCCCGAACAGGGATGGAATGTACACTTCTCCATCCAGTGACCGGCTCACTAACATTAGGCCAATATTCCTGTCTCTCTTTGAGATGTGATACTTGAAAAAAATTGCTTTTCTTTGCGAGATGTTTGCACATAAAGGGTGCATGTAAGCATGAGTACTCACTTGAGTCTAGTCAGATAGATAGAACATACCCTGGAAGGCAGAAAGGCAGACTATGAGGCACCAACAGTTTACCACAAGGGCAAGGCACAAGGCACATATTTTGTACCGCTGACTGGTATCAAACACTATTACGAATTTGTTCTATCTGATCCTTTGTTTTTAAGAATCACATCAACCAGCCAAGAATAAACAGTTGAATGATACATGGATGATTTCAATTTTTTCAAATAACTTCTCTTCCTACCCAAATGAAAATATAGAACCCAGATCCCAAAGTGATAACAGCTGTGCTTTGGTCTTGGGAAAAGAGAGTTTGTAGTTAAGTGTCTCAAATGCTGGAACGACAAAAGCCTGAAAACAGAAGAAAATTATGTGTCATATCTAACTTTAACTGGACTGAATGGTTACAGATTTCAATTGAATTCATATGAAACAACTGTTCAAGAGGTATGTTTTTTTCAGAATTTTCAAAAGAGGAGTTACTCTGTAATGCTGAACTTTCAGTAGCTGTTTGTTCATTTCCTTGCCAAAGTTTGATGCATCATCTCCTTCTCCAGGTATTTGGTATTATCATTATGATAGCAGCCAAAGTTTGAAAATGCAGAACAAGCCAAATTAAGTATTTTTCATGGAATTCCTCATTTTGTTGCAGTAATCTTGAGCACTGCAGAAGGGTCCCTCTACACTTAACTTACCTTTTTGTTCATGTTTGAAGCTGTTTTCAGTGATTTCCTGTAGAAAAGAAAATCACAGCTTGTTGAAGTCACATCACTTCCCCATAGTCAATAGAAGTGTATTGGAAACATCCATTTTTTCAGAGGAGGTAAGAAGAAAATTGTCCATAAGATCAATTTATTAATCCTAAATGCAATGAAGTCTGAGTTTTATAGTCCTGGATTAAGGGGGAATTGGATTAACACTGCACTCTCAAACCAGTGCAAAACAAAGACTAAATTGTTCACAGAAACTGCATTTAGAACTGGGATCAAAAAAGAAGCTAAATGCTATAAGGTGAAGACCACAGGGTTAGGGTTAGAGTTAGGGTTTGGAAAAAAGTTCATTAAAACTCAACCCCAGATGTTTTAATTTCTGTTTCAATTACAAAGTCAGGAAGTTTCTTCAAACTAAACAAATAACATACTAGCCACTTATGCCTAAATAACACTATGTAAGAGGCTTGAAGTGAAAATGTTGGTGGCATTTTTTATGAATGACATCATGACATGGCCTTAAGTACAAGAGATGTCCTTCAGGTAACAGGACAGATTTTCTTGGATCAAAAACTGAACTGAAAGAATTAGTGGCCTTAAAATGAGAAAAATGCAAGGAGAATGAAGCAAGCCATGGTGCCAAGTGGCACTTTCAATATGCCTCTTGCTCCACATTTCAGCAGTGCCCATGAGGTGATAATAAAAGCTGCAAAGAGAACCATCTGTGCTATCCTATGCTTTGTTGATATCACAGATGAAGAGCTTTTCTGGACAGTTGTCAGAGCTGAAGGACTGATAACCTCCTGCCCATTGACCCACCAATCAGAGAACCTACAGGATCCAGGCACTTGCACCCACAGCCACTTTCTGCATGGACAGTTGGGAGGTCAATTTGGGCCAGATGCAGTGAAGAGTACAGGTAGAGATAACCAACAATATATACTACTCCCTGAAAGGGTCAGTCATTACTTTCTGACATTCATTCCTACCTTAAAGAGTCATATGCTCTAGGAGCTGGTACAAAGTCAATGTCATCCAGAAACACAAATGGCGTGTGTACATTCTCCAAAGCAATGTTTCTCAAGTAATTTACAGGATAAAATTGCTGAGGAAAAAATGTTTAGCTGGTAAGTTCGAGTACATGCATCATCACCACCATCACTTGCAAGTTTTTTCTATAAACTATAATTGTAACTTTTTCTTACTACTTTCTCAAGATCGGCCAGTCAAAAAGCTAATGATACACAAAAAAGTCATCAATTTGGGAACTTGTGGCAGAGCAAAGAGTGGTATTAAATGAAGTGGCCCTAAGTATTACTTACTCCTTCTTTAAAGACAACGTGATATCCAACATTTTTTCTTCTCGCTAATTCTTTAGAGCTGTGCACATAGCTCAGGAACTGTTGAGCTTCACTGTCAGACATGTACAGAGCCAAACTAATGGGACCTGCGACACCAGAACCATAGGACACAAATGGTAGTGATCACAACAACTTCACAGAGTATGCCTTCTCATCCAATGCACAAAATAAAAACAGATTCCCCTAGGGGGAGGTGTTATAAAGAAGACTTGTTGCGGATTTTTACCTTTCCAGTGAAGGCAGATCGTTTCAAGAATCTGAAGCCTGGCCATTGACATCTGCACTACAAGTGTGACATCAAAGGGTTCAACTACCTGCCAAAACACAGTTAAAATGAACTTAGTATTTAAGCTTACAACTGAACACCATTAAGCAACATGTCATTTTATAGCCAAATATCATGATCAGTTAACTAAAAAGCGGTTACCAAGTACTTTGCTTAAAATCTTGATGTGTACAAGGTGAATCCCTGAATGAGAAAATTAAAACAGTCCTGTTTAAAGTCAGTCCTTTTTTGATAGCGTAAGAAATTTATTACAAGGAAAGTAGTACAAATAAATAAATGTAGTTACGACTACATGATATTCACTATATCTAAATCCATTCTTTGCTGAGCCCTAAGCAAATTTAAAATAACCCCAATTTTTAACCAGTCATGATCAGCATACGACAGGAAAAAGGTTTGCCTGAAATGTCAGCCATCTGTTACAGTTTCAGGAGAAGTAAATATTAAGTAACATTTTACAGGGCACATTGTTTAATCAAAGACAAATTTTTCTTTCTCTTGTCCATCAACATTATTTTAAGGACAAACATGGAAATGCTAGTAACATTAGTAATGCACAGGAAATGGCGTTGAATTGGCCATATGCTCAGAAGATAATTATATGAAAAATGTGGCAAGACTAGCCTTGAACTATCAACCACAAGGAAAGAGGAAAGTTGGACAGTCAAGGAACAACTGGAAGCAGTCCATGAAAGAGTGGGCTACTCCTGGGTGAGAGCTAAAGCATTAGCAAAGAACTGCATGCATTACAGGGTACTGGTGGATGCCCTATACGTTCCCCTGAGGGTGATAAGGATCAATGATGAAAAGGATTAGTTCTCTGCATGCTTATTTGTCACATAATTGGCACCATGACATGGATGCCCAATAATTACAGTTACAACTTTTTGTAATTGGACACCTGTAATTGGATACCTACAACCTTCACACAGCAATTACACATGCATTAATGGTTCCCTTCCCAATGGTTTCCTACAGTTGTTTGAACTTATTGAAAGCACTACTGACTTTCTAGCTCAAAAGAAGTTCTCAAAAGACTCATTACAACTTCATGATGCTTTAAGTGTGTCTTTCTGAAATGGCTTAAACTGCTGGATGTTGTGGCCTTTTGTCTGCGATGTGTGAATGAACTCAAAGTAATCACTGCAAACATTTTATGGATTTGGCTTCTTCACGATGTATGTAGCTTAAGAGATTATTTCTTTATGACTACAGATTATATTGAGAGCTTTAAAAAGAGATCTTGAATTACATGTAGCTGTTTTGATCACAGGACGCCAGAATTAGAATTGTTTTTGCGACTGGCAGCCATTATTATTTTATGCGCAACCATGTTCCAATGCATTAGGACTATTTTTCAACATGTGGTGAATGCCCAGGTCACTTAATGGTTTAAAATTTTCCTCTGACCACTACTGTTTAATTGGAGGCCTTCTACAAGCTCTTAAAAGAGATTTAGTCAAGGATTCTTTTCTTTTACAAGCCAATTGAGTGTTTAAGATATGAGCCGCCGCCAAGTTTTATTCAATGCATCTGATCCCCCAGAATACAATTTAAACAAGTTATTTGATGACTTTTTCTTTCTTTGCCCAATAAAGAAACTCAGGGGGCTCTATTTTCCTCCACGTAACCATGATTTAACCTCCTGCATAAGTGGAAATTTACGACAATCACGATGTGTGACTTGCTTACAAATTGTGTGAATGATGCTATGAATTTAAAATCAATAGAACAGACATTATCGTAGTCCCTTGGGTTTTATTTCTTCTCTGTTGATAAAAGAAAAATATCTCAATTACATCAAAGAGTTTGCACTCCTCCGAAACATGCTGTGTTGTCGGCAGGACATCGTTATGAATAAGTGATAAGTAAGAACAATAGCGAGAATGTACGAATACTCAATGACCCCAGAATTTGAGGAACACACTTTAAGTGACATGAAGTTGTCACGTTTTTTAATTTCGAAATTTGTTATAAATTCAGTGGAGTACAATTCAGGGCGTTATTATGCTCATAATTTCAAATTGGCCTTGCGATTTCTGCTCATCCAATTTTGAAATTACTTACCCAATTACTCCCTGAATTGTCCTGCATCCAGTTCAATTAGTATTACTAATAATTTCCTAAATCTGTATGTTAACCTGCGGTGTTGAAACCATTTTCAATTCAGACTTTACATTTTTGGTTTCTGGATAAATCATTTTTATGACAACCAAATTGTTTAAGTGACTTTATCATATGGCTAGCTCTGTGAGCGGGCAAAATGAATCAAATCCTGCACTGTGATTGGCTACCCCAGTGGGTAAGATGGAGCTATCTTGCCCACTTGGAACTACCCACTGTGTCCCGGAAGAAAAATTTCCCTGAAAGCCATATAATAAATCCTTTATTGACCAAGCTTGTTAGGTCAAGATGGCTTGATATTGGCCTCATTCGTTTTATTGCGAGTTTATGGACCTCAACTCAAGCTCGGTCCATAAACACACAAAAAAAGAACTTGGCCAATATCCAGCCATCTTGACCTCACACTTGGTCAATAACCCATATGTATTCAAACATCCTTACATGTATACAAATCACATTCCCCATGTCCTGTCCAAAAAAAATTAATGACATCACTAACAGGCTAAAAGCATTATTGTACTGGTAATTTATTTTCTCTTGCACTCAGAGTAACCTATCCTGAGATGAGAATGCCTACTTACTTGTGAAAATTCATAATCCAGATAGTATAGATGAGTTCTGTACATCAAATCCCTTTCTTGTCTAAACTCAAAGCAAGCATCTTCATTGTCCATCTTACCTGCACTCTGGAAACAAACACTGCCCTGTCATACAATACGCCTACTATTTTACTAGAGATACAACATTTGAGAAGAGCAACTAAAGATAACTAAGTTACACTTAAGACAAGAACAACTATCAAAGGGAGCTGATTTCAAGCTATCTTTTGGCAATTCTTGCCAGGCAGTTTACGCTCAAGTTGTCAGTGACATCTCACCTACATAGCAAAAGATCAACACCGACCAACTCTAAATCTTTTACTGCCACTTTAAAGGCACGAAAAAATTTCCACTGAAATGGAAAACTCTGTAGAATAGTTTAATACTTTTATTCAAATTGACTTGTACCTTCTCTGTTGGCTGCTGTTTGATTGGGTTTCCCTCCGTATTTTCACTTATCTTGTTATTACTCTCATCACAAGGGAATATCCACCACCTGAAACAATATTGCTCATGTTGATTTTCTCACAAGTTACGTCAACATCAATAATTGTCTTTTATTCTTAATCTTGGCTATCAAATGACTTAGCCCAACATGCATGAGCCTCCTTGTAGCTCAGCAGTCAAAGCATCTGATCACTGTGCAGAAGGTCATCGGCTTAACTTCCGCTGGGGGGTCAGACTTTTTCCCCTGCCTTGTGGGTCTCAGAAAATTTGGATAGAATCAGGAAATCTTGCAATCCTTTGGGACAAGTCTTAAAGTGCCATTTGTAAGTGTTTCCTTCTGTCTCAGAGTCCAAAATCATTCAAGTCTCAGTCTTGGATTTTAAACCAATGATCTTGACATTCAAGTGAGTCTTGGATTTTACCATTTGTCCTCCATGGCCACTGAATTAATTTTACACCTCCCTGAGTTTTCCCCTCCTCCACACAGGATGATCTGACATTGATGACTACATTACTTACAACACAGCTGGACAATCAAATATGAACCTACAAAATGACTTAACTCAGACCAGATTGATATGTCAAAGACCAGTAAAATCCACAACATTTTCAAGGCTTTTTTCATGAGATTTTCATGGTCAAAATTAAGGCCATTTTCATGGTTTTGTTACCATGGTAAAAGCATTACAAAGCCATGATAATCCTTTGAAAACTTCCATTTTTGTGTACTAGACCATGAAATACTCATTAAAAAAAGCCATTAAATTTTAAATGGTAGAAAGTTGTTTGTTTTTTTTCAAATAGGTTTTAAATGGTGTTGAAAACACCATGAATTCAACACCAGACTTTACATGATGTTTACTGCATCTTTGATGGGTTGAAAAATTTATGGCCCATGAACATTCTGTGAATCTGCAAGTTTTCATTGGCCATGAAAAAAATCTTCATGAGTAGATCATATTTGGATGTCCACCTTTTATGGGGTAGATGAAGCCACATGATCACCACTTTTAAGTCTCCCTGTTCATTACTAGTATGTACAGTTAGAGTATGTAAAGTATGTGGTGGCTAGAGAATATGATTGAGTGTAGAAGGTCATGGCTTAGACCCCCTCCAGGGCACAGATGTTTTTCTTTAGCTTTCCAATGAAGTTTTCTCACAACAAAACAAGTTTTGACAAACTAAATGCTTGTTTGAAGAAATACCAGAGTTTTATCTGAAAGTAATAGTGTTGTGATCAACAATCATCTTAAGTAACAAGTATGCTTACAACTGCTGTACAGTACAGCCCAAAAATAATGCACGCGCAAGAAGTGACACAAGAAGTTCTTGCACCGCAAGAACACACAAGCCGCTGCAAGAAGTAAAAATGTTGTGTTTTTGCAGTTTACCCACGAGAAGCCGCAAGAAGTTGCCAGACTGCAGAAGCAAAAAGAAGTTCTTGCACGTGCATTATCTTTGGGCTGTACTGTAGTTGTACAATGTAACAGAGTAACAGTGTACAGTGCAATCTTACTCACTGTTAGGCAAGTGAAACAATAAAGAATGTTGTAAGTTACCTTAAGAAGTTGCCATCATATTCCAGGAAAGTCAAGTACAGGTTCCTAAAAAACTCCTCATATTTGTTCTTCACTAGCTGCTTCTTGGGTGAGTTCCAGTGAATAACCTGCCAGTTGTTAACAGTCAAAGATTGACCTTCCAGCATATAAAAATAATCATGACTGGCACTGGACTAATATGTTGGTATGGTGGACTCATGTTGGTCCAGGTTTGAACTGGCAACATAACAAGATGTCAGCAGTAACTAGTGACACGGACTAGAACATACACCGCTCTGGAGAGTAACAATCCTTCTATAGGAAAAAAACAAATATAGTGTCTTGCCCTTTCAATCCAGAGTACACAACTACATGTATTACTAATTAGGCCACTATATATGCCTCAATTGTTGTTGTTGTTGTTGTTGTTGTTGTTGTTGTTGTTGTTGGAGAGATAAAGGAAAACTGACTGGTGTATAACCTACACTGTTGTCTACTGTAAACAAACATGTTACCTTTAATTCAGAAACATCCTTGTAACAGGTCTACAAATTAAAGAGAAACAAGTTACCTTTGATTAGAAAGTAATTGACTGTTTGCTAATTTATTTACAAACATCACACAGAATGTCATTGAATGAACAATTACCGGTATTTAAATGGGTTACAGAACACCTACCGCACTGCGAGTATTGTCCCCAAGTTGAACATTCCATGTACAAGGTAGTGTCAATACCAGATAGGGATGACTCTTTATCACTGCATTAAATATGTCCTTGAAAATAATAATGCATCAATATAAATCACTTTAACATCCTATGAAAAAAAATTGAATAGTTTATTTTTTCCCTTCATTTTAAGATTTTGACAGTAATATAAACTAAATGCAATTTTTAAGACAGCATTACTGACAGGGAGAAAATATGTCTTGCATTGGGTGGAGTCAAATAGCCATGAAGCCCAAAATGAGCAGAGCTTGAAAAGCCCCCGTCCACTTGTCTGGAACAAGAATATTTTCCTCTCAGGGAAGTAACTTTCTCTGCTCACTTGCCCCACAAGCAAGAGCCCAGCCAAGCTGACTAAATTTTAGACAATGATATTAAAACAACACGTAAATTTTAGGCACATGGGTAATTAAGTGTTTAGATGATGCTTGACGAAAATTATAAATTATAGCGTTGTTTTGTTGACTGCATGAGGAGAGTTTACAGTTAAGAAATGATTACCTAGCTAGCGTATGATCAAAACCTGCCTGATCAATTTCTTCCTATGACTAAGAAAATGTCAATAGCCATGTTTGGCACAAAAACGCTGTGTTTATTGTTATGTTAATTCACAAGAATTTTCCAATTTCATTGTATAAAACCAAACTTGACATAAATGTATCAAAGCTACATGTACATAGAAACTGTATGCGAAAAGAAGCCGTAAAAAATGTGTGCCACATAATAGGTTACAGTAAAAGTTGTCTAAACTGTGCAAATGGCAAAAAGTAAAAGATTAGGTCATAGGAGCAACTGTTATTTGTAAAGTTCTGAACTTTGAAGCTTTTGTACACCCATTTCAGTGCTGAGATGCCAATTTTAATTTTTCAACCAATCACAGGCAGCAAAAGGGAGAAAGCATTACCATGTTATAATACTGTCTCTCTCGCAAGCAAAACTATGGGAGGATTGTGAACGATCTACTCACTTTTAAAGTATACATTGTAAAAGGAAGGTCATAGAATGCTTTTATTTTATTCAGCACCTTGCCATTATAGAAAAAAAGTTTAAACAGAACAATAGAAATGCAAAATAATATGATTCCTCTTCACTGGAAGATGAAAAGTAGCAATTAACTTAATGTTTGCCATGTATTCTGCATTTCTTTTAATAGCCTTTAGTAAACTTGATGCTAACTCTCACATAATTATTGTATAGGACACTTATATGCTACATGTAGTAATACTCACTTGTTCCCCACCCAATTTTTGAAAAAAAAATAAAGACAAAAAATAGATGCAAATCTTAACGGTTATATGCTAAGAAGTACAGATGAGATGGCTTACCTGATCTGCTAGAGAGGTGGATAGCATGTTCATAAGTTCTTTCTCAGCGGTTAGTCTCCACAGACTAGTCCACTTAGTCTGACGCAACTTGTACAGATCTAGTAGGATTACACCTGTGTTGAACCCTCGTCCCTGGATCAGAATCATGAGATCTTACATTGATATGAGGCCCGCATGCACAAGGCAATAAGTATGGGTTATTGACCAATTGTGAGGTCAAGATGGCTGGATATTGACCAAGTTCTTTTATTTGCGTGTTTATGGACTGAGACAGAGTCAAGGTCCATAAACTCCCAAAAAAAGAACGAGGCCAATATCCAGCCATCTTGGCCGCACAAGCTTGGTCAATAAAGGATTTATTATATGGCTTTCAGGGTAATTTTTCTTGCGGGACACGGTGGGTAGTCCCAGGCGGGCAAGATAGCTCCATCTTGCCCGCTCGGGTAGCCAATCATAGCACTGGATTTGATTCATCTTGCCCGCTCACGGAGCTAGCCATATAATAATTATAATTATTTACCACATTTGGTAAACAGGAATCAAATAAAATATTGTTGCTGACCCATGAGTAACAGGTACATTTCTTGAAAAAAAATTTCAGACATTAAAATCGCAGACATTTTATTTTGGATGTTTAATTTTCCAACACTATTTATCTCATTTCAGACAAATTTCTTTATTGAAACATACCTGAAGTAACTATCTTATCTGTAAATAAGATAGTTTTTCTGCACCGTCAAGGTTTTACAAATACCAGTTGAAAAAATAAAACAAATTCTACAAGCGATACATACATGTATCTCAAGCGCTGTCTCAAATAGAGTTCCCTCCCCAAAGTAAACTAAGAGTTTTGGAGCTACTCAAAAATTTTATGCTGTACTGTAACATATGATTAAAATTTTGGATGCTTAAAAATTTGGACAGTCTTGTTTTCAGGCGCTTTTTTTGTCTGAAATCAAACTCATCCTAAAATGTTTTTCAAGTAAATTACTCAGGAAACTATAGATAGATAACTATGGCTGTGAACAGTGTATTTGAGGAGATCTTTTTACGCACAAGGTAGAACTATGAAAGAAGATGCTGCAATGCAAGCATTGGACAAACTCACCAGAGCAGGCCAGGGTCTATGGTTTTTCCACAGTTTACCAAGATACCAGTCACTCTGGTTTTCAACAAGACCAATTGCCTGATTAAACAACAGAAATGAACCACAAATAACATGTATAAGTAGAATTCTTCTAAGTATACTAATGCAAATGCTGCAATCTGATTGGCTGAGCTATCATACACTATCAGCCAGTGTGCACATACAGTAATGATGACATATTCTCAGGTCTCCAATGTTTTGGTAGAAGATTTAGAAACATTACCTGATAATTCAGTTTCTAGAAAAACTACAGAAAGGAAATCTTGAGCTTATACTCTTATTGAAATAAAATGAAACCTGAGTAACCCTGAGTGAAATGGATACTGTAAGTCAAAAAAGACTTTATATTTAATATATCATTATTACAAAAACTATATTATAGCTTCCACTTGGCACGAAAATATGCTTGGATATTTGTCCATGGACATTATCTGTTCCGAGCAGCAAACAACTTTCCAAGAGCATAGCTTGAGGAATACTGTGAGCTTTGAGGGATAGATAATGTCCAAGGACTAATATTCAAGATTATAATCCACCAAAGTTTTTCACTCGCACATGATTGGTCTAAGCAATCTGGAATATACCCCAGCTAAAACTGTTTTCAGAACAGCAGCAGGGCTCAACACTAACGGTAGCCAACTAGCCACAGACTAGCAGAAATTTAGTTTTGGCTAGTAGGTTTTCGATTTCCACTAGCCACTTTGGCTAGTCAACAAAATGAAAATGTCTGAACTAGTTTCTGTCTTCTTCCAGGAAGACAAACACAAAATTCACACTTTTCTTGGAAAAAAAGGTCAGAATTTCATTGTGGACATATCAGGGCACTGGGCATGTGGAGTTCAGCACGTATGCAAATTTAAGTTTGTCTACTTTTCACTGGGTGGAACGTAAACTGGGACTTGAACATGTTAATTTTGTTGAAAGAAACATTTGACAAACAAGACAGGATTTTCTGAAAGCACACATCAATGCTCTTTTTTTTTATGAAATTTTTTTCATGCACAAAATAGTGCGGAACTGTAAAGGGATCACATTTCATTTAGCATAACAATACATGGGTGATTTGTTGTTGTATGCATACTTACAAACTTACCACTACAGAAATAATTAGATGAGAAAGATGTATTTCCTTTGACATTTAACCCAGCCGTTTTTAGCAGTCRAATTTCGCCAACGACAGTTTACAGTATTGTTCAGATAGTTGTTTTGCTTTTGAAACATTTCTACGGCACCTGTCTGTGAAGAAGTCTCGACAGTTTTTACAGTGACATCTTGGGGGTCTCAATATTTTTCCAAGGAAGTCTCAGAGAAAAAACAGAGTCCTGAAAGTCTTTTTGGGAACTGGAACTTTTTTGAAACTAGTTTAAGTACAGTATAATTACCAACATTATGTATTAAAGAGAGTTGCTTGTGTTGTGCTTTCAAGTTTCGCTAGTAAATCTGCTGTTATTGGACCTATCTGAAATTTTCACAACATGTTAATTTTGCGAATTGCTTGGCTAGTAAAAAAAGGTTTTGGCTAGTAACATCTAAGTTATCACTAGCCACTAGGCTAGTAAGTTGAAAAGTTAGTGTCGAGCCCTGCAGCAGTATTGCAAAAAATATTTAAAGGATAATAACCACAGTAGCCTCCACTTGACGCAAAAATATGCTCATATATTTGTCCATGGACATTATATGTTCCTCAAAGCTCACAGTTTTCCTTGAGCTACGCTCTCAAAAGAACTGTTCGCTTCTCGAAACAGAAATTTCCACGGACAAATATGTGAGCATATGTTCGCGCCAAATGGAGGTAACTGTTTATATATTTTCACGCCAAAGGGAGGCGATTGTCTTTGTTATCCTTCAAATATTTGCACAACATGTGGGATGTTTTGAAAATATTGCCAGGGAATATCATTTGGATAATCCCCAATTTTAGCTGGGGCATATTCAGTCAAGTGATGCATGTAGACCAGTTGCATCCAAGCAAAAATATTTGATGGATTATAATATCAGGTATCTCTCTTAAACTTGACTTCTCACTTAGGACTAATAACAGTCCTTACTTCAAATTACTAATTTTAAATAGAGCTGACCTTTTTTCCTGTAAGCTCATCAAAAATCCTCCACAGTTCAGCAATATCAGATGCAAATATAACATCAGTGTCAAGAACTACAACCTGGAAAAACATAAAACAGTGAGGAGCTTAAGCAACCATGACAGCAAATTAAAGCCAAGGAAGGTGATTAAACAATGATTTTATATTCAAAATATGAATCTCGTGAGAATCTAGGTTCATTCAGTTTTGCACTGTCAGAGCTATCCCAAAACTGAGTTTAAGAGATTGGTCATTATGGTTCATTCTCTTTAGGACTATGCAGAATTTGGCAATTTCATTCTGTTGTTTTGTAGAGAACGGCAAAGAAATGTACTCAAGAATTATAACCCATGTGCACAGCCATTGTACAGCTCATTAAGTACATTAAGCTTTTTATTCAGTGATTTTCCTATTCCTGTTGCTATTGCCATTGTGGCTACTTAAACTCCTAATAATGGAGCTACATGTAGTCAAGAAGAATCCAGAATAAAAATAAAAAGAATGCAACCAAAGAGCTGTATCTGTGTCCAGGTGTCCATGGCCTAATGCTATAGCTAATGGTTTGTAAGTTTAAGTTTCGTTTCTTTCCCATATTAATAATTATTATAAAAATAATTGTGACTGTTCACAGGAAAACATACTTTAACGCTTATCCATTAAACGGCTAAAAACTAACAGATAACTAATGGATAGTTAACGGCCTTCAGAGCATTCTAATGCTTTGTGCTAACGTTCTAATGGCTAGCAAGTTTTGCCCAACAGCTCATTATAACATTCTAATGCTTTGTCCTAATGGTCTTACAGCTTAGTAATCCTGCCTAACGGCTCATGAAAACGATCGGCAATGGTTTAAACAGCTGAGAGAAAAATCTAACGGATAACCGTGAAAGTGCCTGAATGCTTGCACCTGATCTGCTTGAGCGTTAGCAATTGGCGCCATGCATACTGTACAGACAAAGAACAGTTTTATAAATCGCTACAGGAAAAGGTCAATATCCCCACAAAAATTTAATGCCAATTACATTCATAGCCATGAAATGGAAACACTACTCAAAACAAGTGCTAAATTCATTGAGACATGGGCCTGCGGCACCGAATAAAGTCCTATGTTAGTAAGATGCTAGCAAGTGAAAAAGCTGAATCATGACTGGTAAGTTTTGTATCGGCATGAATTCCATAATCAATTCGTAACACAATGCGTTGCAATGTAATGTTTAATGCTGATGTTTTTACATTTGTTGCGACCTGACGTGACAAAGCTTGCTTCATTGATAAAGTGTTGGTTCTGATAGTCAAAGTCAACAGCATGTCAAAATAGTCGTTAAAACATTACCTCGGAATTAAAAAGTTTTGAAACCAGTCTCTTGAATTACACTGTAAACAAATTAAACCAAATTTCACACTCAATGTGGATGACCCCAAAGTTCACTAAGAACGTTTTGTCATCTTCAGCGAAAGTCCTTAGTCGTGCATCCCAGCATATCAAAATAGTCATAAAAACATCTCGCCGCAATTGCTTTTTGGAATGAACTACTGTGTAAACATTCCGCTGGAATTAAAAAGTTTTGAGCCTACAGTAGTCTCTTGAATTACACTGTAAACAACTTAATGCAAATTTCATACTGAATGTGGATGACTCCAAAGTTCTACAAGCATTTTGTCATTTTCGGTGTCATTTGATTGATTCAGTCACATCATACTTTATCGGTGAACAGCACACAATTTTGTCAAATTTCAAGCTAGATTATTAAATGCATACAATAAACCCGGAATTAAGTCACTCATCTTATTCCCTCTTCAACTACATTGCTCACTTAGTCTCCGTAATGCAAGCAAGACTATCCCCGGCACTCGCTCGTCCACTCGCTTGCTTTAATACCCCACTAGATATCATGCATTTGCACTGTAGCTTACGAAGTTGATTTCAGGCCAAGACATAGCTCACGTCTTGCAATACACAGATTTCTTCACTTATAACCTTTGCCAGCCATTCCAACAGATAGCAAACAGTTAAATTACTGTTTAACGGATTCTTATTTTTTCTAACAGCTCTGCAGCGATGGGCTTTCCGTTCTAACGGTATGATGTTAATGGCTAATGGATACAGGCTAACAGCTAACGCTTGCACTTTCTCCTCTAATGTTTTGACTTTTACTGCTAACGGTTAGGTTAACCTAAACACCTCTAACGTTTACAAGAAAATTTTCTTACAGGAAACTAACAGATGGTTAACAGTTTCGCCAGTCTAACAGATAAGCATTAAAGTATGTTTTCCCGAGAATGGTCACAATTATTGTTCCAAGCACTTTTCTTTTTTTGTGTGTGTGTGTGAAATAAATTTCTCTTGGTTCCATGTATGCATTCCCTTGAGTCCTATCTATATGCCAAATCTCTCTCGGTGCCAATGAAATTTCACACTTCCACCCTTGACTCACAAAACCTCAGACTTTTCAGGACTATTTTGTGAATTTCAGCTTTCCTTTATTGCATCTGATCTTTCATGCAGTATAACTCCTGAGCCTAGTCCTAAGCTCTCTTTCACCTAAATGTACGTATGACTAACCATATACAAGTATCCTGCTCACCTTGTCCAAAGATCGTGGAAGTGCTTCTGTTAAAACTAGCTTCATTAAACCAAAGATTCCAGAGTAATGTTTATTTGGTATCCAAGACACTTTGTCCTGCAAGGTTAATTAAAGCATGCATGTTACTTGTAACATAATTTTTATTGCTAAAAACACATACAAAGATCAAAAATATTAATAAAAGACAATCTTGGCTGAAAAGCAGGTTAAATTCCAAAGTAAACCTAATGCCACAATCACTTTCTTGAACTGATCCTGGGGTTTTAAGTCGATATATCTCTAAAGGCTGCAGCACACTAGCCGATTTTTTGTTGTAGAACTGCGAATTTTTTGTTGGGGTCAAATTGGGTTAAAATTTGTCGGGCCATCAGTGTGTCACACACTGGCCGATTTTTTTGGCGTGACTAACCGCATTGATGCTTGGGACCGAGTCATCCAAAATCAAGATGGCACCTATTCCACTCACGTGACTCTCATGACATTTCCTAATTGGTTGAGGTGTGTGTGAGCCCTGATAAATTGTCTTGGTCCACTGCACACTAGCCGACAAAGCCCGACAAGACATTTTGAGATCTAGCACTGTCAGATATCACCCGACAAGCCCCCGATCTTGTCGCAGACTTGTCTGAATTCACCACACACCAGCCGACAAGTGAAGATTTTTTGTCGGCAGACAGAAAATCGGCTAGTGTGCGGCGGCCTAAAGTGTTTTTAATATAAAAAGTCTGGTTTTCAATTTAAATTAACCGAGCATTGCCATGTTTACTTTTTCATGGTAATTTATGACATATGCTAGCTTATTTAGCAGCTTAGTGCATAGCTTGATACGAAACAAGTCTTGCATTCCATTTGCATCTCAATAAAGGAGCTAAAAACTTCTGGGGGTGGTCAACCATGTCTTGGATGGGACGGGGTCAAAATTTTATGACAGTACATATTCATCCTGAATATCAATTATATAAGGTAAATTCTCAGTATTAAATAACTTAATGAGCTTTGAACAGAAAGAGCACTAGAGGTATACTACAATATCAACTTGAGTGTATACTTGCTGACCAATTAAAGTTTTGTTGAGGAGACCAAAGTTTGCAACAATACAAACCACATCTGATTCTCAAGTGGCCATATCTTTATTCTCCCAGAATTCCCTAGTTACATCACATACTATGTCTTGAGATACTACAGAAAGCAGTTGTTACAGCATTTGAATTCAGTAACATTACAATCATAATGTTCACAGCTTACATGACAGGTACATGTAACATATATCAAATAAATTTATTGACTACAGCAGTGGGATTTATAATAAATCTCTTATTAGATGTTTTGGTGTGTAGTATCGCTGTATATTTTTACTCTTTGTTTGTATTTTGACTCAACCTACGGGCTTGTCAAAATACAGCACAACTCCTAAAAATATAGAGCGATACTACATACCAAAACACCTAATAAGCGATTTATTATAAATCCCACTGCTGTAGTCAATAAATTTATTAGTGAAACAGGAGAGTGTGACAGTTTTGCGTGCGCGCACTGACCTGTCTGGCAAACACGTTTTCTACTGTACAAATAACAGTACTGTGCAATATCGCTGTACATTTGTACTGTTATTTGGGTGGGTATTAGCTGCAGTTGGGTAATAAAATGATCTACATGTATTCTATAGATGAAACATAATTAAGGAAAACTGGGCTGAGTGTCTAACCTTGACAGTTTCAGTGCTGTAAAAACTTGTGTCAACTGAAAAAAGACAAAAATTAGATTATTATCAATCAAACTGCAAAAGATAACATGGATTGTTATATTTTTTACATAACCTTTAAAGTACCATTGAATCTGCATCTTATGTTTTAAGAAGTTTTCATAAAGCAAATAAAATAGATTGATGTTAATTAAATAGAATTAATGATTAAGAACATCACAGGGTAGGTTACCATTGAAATTCACTTCTCTCCTCAATCACAAAAAAATCAGCTGTTGCGTACTTTTTGAGTTGAGTCTACTTCTTCAAAAATTAAAAGATGGAGGGAAGAAATGTGACTGATAGTCTGCCACACGATGTTGACTTCTTGTAGAATTAACAATGAATTTAAATTTTAAGTTCGTGACAATTTCAAAAGGCTACAGTATGTAAAGTTCTTCTCTGGGTCATCAATTTCGTGCAGCACACACCTGCTGGGATGGCCCACGTTTGAAAGAGGAAAGTTAAAATCTTCTCTGCAATGCCATCTGAGATGAAATGGAAATGAAGAGGATTACGGCGGTGGAACAGAATGGACTTGATAAGGGTTACTACTTGTCGACTTGCATTGTGACCTGCACAGACCACTGCAACGTGTATAACCTGCAAAAAGACAACACTTCACTAAACTTGAAGTCAATAATAACAACTTACTTTTATAAACAACTGATTGTAGGTACATGTATTTGCACCCCTTGCTGATTGTGCAGTTTAATCTTGAAAAAACTGCATTGGCAATGAGTAGAACTGATTCAGTTTATTGACATAGTACACTTTAAAGACTTTCATGTATATAACATTGTAAACACTTGACTACATATTTCTGGCCTTGGATGGCATGGTTTTGGTGTTGATAGAAGCTTAAGGGAAGAGATGAGATCAAAAAAAATACACATGTCTTTGACCCTTAATTTTTTGCAANCAACATTATGTATTAAAGAGAGTTGCTTGTGTTGTGCTTTCAAGTTTCGCTAGTAAATCTGCTGTTATTGGACCTATCTGAAATTTTCACAACATGTTAATTTTGCGAATTGCTTGGCTAGTAAAAAAAGGTTTTGGCTAGTAACATCTAAGTTATCACTAGCCACTAGGCTAGTAAGTTGAAAAGTTAGTGTCGAGCCCTGCAGCAGTATTGCAAAAAATATTTAAAGGATAATAACCACAGTAGCCTCCACTTGACGCAAAAATATGCTCATATATTTGTCCATGGACATTATATGTTCCTCAAAGCTCACAGTTTTCCTTGAGCTACGCTCTCAAAAGAACTGTTCGCTTCTCGAAACAGAAATTTCCACGGACAAATATGTGAGCATATGTTCGCGCCAAATGGAGGTAACTGTTTATATATTTTCACGCCAAAGGGAGGCGATTGTCTTTGTTATCCTTCAAATATTTGCACAACATGTGGGATGTTTTGAAAATATTGCCAGGGAATATCATTTGGATAATCCCCAATTTTAGCTGGGGCATATTCAGTCAAGTGATGCATGTAGACCAGTTGCATCCAAGCAAAAATATTTGATGGATTATAATATCAGGTATCTCTCTTAAACTTGACTTCTCACTTAGGACTAATAACAGTCCTTACTTCAAATTACTAATTTTAAATAGAGCTGACCTTTTTTCCTGTAAGCTCATCAAAAATCCTCCACAGTTCAGCAATATCAGATGCAAATATAACATCAGTGTCAAGAACTACAACCTGGAAAAACATAAAACAGTGAGGAGCTTAAGCAACCATGACAGCAAATTAAAGCCAAGGAAGGTGATTAAACAATGATTTTATATTCAAAATATGAATCTCGTGAGAATCTAGGTTCATTCAGTTTTGCACTGTCAGAGCTATCCCAAAACTGAGTTTAAGAGATTGGTCATTATGGTTCATTCTCTTTAGGACTATGCAGAATTTGGCAATTTCATTCTGTTGTTTTGTAGAGAACGGCAAAGAAATGTACTCAAGAATTATAACCCATGTGCACAGCCATTGTACAGCTCATTAAGTACATTAAGCTTTTTATTCAGTGATTTTCCTATTCCTGTTGCTATTGCCATTGTGGCTACTTAAACTCCTAATAATGGAGCTACATGTAGTCAAGAAGAATCCAGAATAAAAATAAAAAGAATGCAACCAAAGAGCTGTATCTGTGTCCAGGTGTCCATGGCCTAATGCTATAGCTAATGGTTTGTAAGTTTAAGTTTCGTTTCTTTCCCATATTAATAATTATTATAAAAATAATTGTGACTGTTCACAGGAAAACATACTTTAACGCTTATCCATTAAACGGCTAAAAACTAACAGATAACTAATGGATAGTTAACGGCCTTCAGAGCATTCTAATGCTTTGTGCTAACGTTCTAATGGCTAGCAAGTTTTGCCCAACAGCTCATTATAACATTCTAATGCTTTGTCCTAATGGTCTTACAGCTTAGTAATCCTGCCTAACGGCTCATGAAAACGATCGGCAATGGTTTAAACAGCTGAGAGAAAAATCTAACGGATAACCGTGAAAGTGCCTGAATGCTTGCACCTGATCTGCTTGAGCGTTAGCAATTGGCGCCATGCATACTGTACAGACAAAGAACAGTTTTATAAATCGCTACAGGAAAAGGTCAATATCCCCACAAAAATTTAATGCCAATTACATTCATAGCCATGAAATGGAAACACTACTCAAAACAAGTGCTAAATTCGTTGAGACATGGGCCTGCGGCACCGAATAAAGTCCTATGTTAGTAAGATGCTAGCAAGTGAAAAAGCTGAATCATGACTGGTAAGTTTTGTATCGGCATGAATTCCATAATCAATTCGTAACACAATGCGTTGCAATGTAATGTTTAATGCTGATGTTTTTACATTTGTTGCGACCTGACGTGACAAAGCTTGCTTCATTGATAAAGTGTTGGTTCTGATAGTCAAAGTCAACAGCATGTCAAAATAGTCGTTAAAACATTACCTCGGAATTAAAAAGTTTTGAAACCAGTCTCTTGAATTACACTGTAAACAAATTAAACCAAATTTCACACTCAATGTGGATGACCCCAAAGTTCACTAAGAACGTTTTGTCATCTTCAGCGAAAGTCCTTAGTCGTGCATCCCAGCATATCAAAATAGTCATAAAAACATCTCGCCGCAATTGCTTTTTGGAATGAACTACTGTGTAAACATTCCGCTGGAATTAAAAAGTTTTGAGCCTACAGTAGTCTCTTGAATTACACTGTAAACAACTTAATGCAAATTTCATACTGAATGTGGATGACTCCAAAGTTCTACAAGCATTTTGTCATTTTCGGTGTCATTTGATTGATTCAGTCACATCATACTTTATCGGTGAACAGCACACAATTTTGTCAAATTTCAAGCTAGATTATTAAATGCATACAATAAACCCGGAATTAAGTCACTCATCTTATTCCCTCTTCAACTACATTGCTCACTTAGTCTCCGTAATGCAAGCAAGACTATCCCCGGCACTCGCTCGTCCACTCGCTTGCTTTAATACCCCACTAGATATCATGCATTTGCACTGTAGCTTACGAAGTTGATTTCAGGCCAAGACATAGCTCACGTCTTGCAATACACAGATTTCTTCACTTATAACCTTTGCCAGCCATTCCAACAGATAGCAAACAGTTAAATTACTGTTTAACGGATTCTGATTTTTTCTAACAGCTCTGCAGCGATGGGCTTTCCGTTCTAACGGTATGATGTTAATGGCTAATGGATACAGGCTAACAGCTAACGCTTGCACTTTCTCCTCTAATGTTTTGACTTTTACTGCTAACGGTTAGGTTAACCTAAACACCTCTAACGTTTACAAGAAAATTTTCTTACAGGAAACTAACAGATGGTTAACAGTTTCGCCAGTCTAACAGATAAGCATTAAAGTATGTTTTCCCGAGAATGGTCACAATTATTGTTCCAAGCACTTTTCTTTTTTTGTGTGTGTGTGTGAAATAAATTTCTCTTGGTTCCATGTATGCATTCCCTTGAGTCCTATCTATATGCCAAATCTCTCTCGGTGCCAATGAAATTTCACACTTCCACCCTTGACTCACAAAACCTCAGACTTTTCAGGACTATTTTGTGAATTTCAGCTTTCCTTTATTGCATCTGATCTTTCATGCAGTATAACTCCTGAGCCTAGTCCTAAGCTCTCTTTCACCTAAATGTACGTATGACTAACCATATACAAGTATCCTGCTCACCTTGTCCAAAGATCGTGGAAGTGCTTCTGTTAAAACTAGCTTCATTAAACCAAAGATTCCAGAGTAATGTTTATTTGGTATCCAAGACACTTTGTCCTGCAAGGTTAATTAAAGCATGCATGTTACTTGTAACATAATTTTTATTGCTAAAAACACATACAAAGATCAAAAATATTAATAAAAGACAATCTTGGCTGAAAAGCAGGTTAAATTCCAAAGTAAACCTAATGCCACAATCACTTTCTTGAACTGATCCTGGGGTTTTAAGTCGATATATCTCTAAAGGCTGCAGCACACTAGCCGATTTTTTGTTGTAGAACTGCGAATTTTTTGTTGGGGTCAAATTGGGTTAAAATTTGTCGGGCCATCAGTGTGTCACACACTGGCCGATTTTTTTGGCGTGACTAACCGCATTGATGCTTGGGACCGAGTCATCCAAAATCAAGATGGCACCTATTCCACTCACGTGACTCTCATGACATTTCCTAATTGGTTGAGGTGTGTGTGAGCCCTGATAAATTGTCTTGGTCCACTGCACACTAGCCGACAAAGCCCGACAAGACATTTTGAGATCTAGCACTGTCAGATATCACCCGACAAGCCCCCGATCTTGTCGCAGACTTGTCTGAATTCACCACACACCAGCCGACAAGTGAAGATTTTTTGTCGGCAGACAGAAAATCGGCTAGTGTGCGGCGGCCTAAAGTGTTTTTAATATAAAAAGTCTGGTTTTCAATTTAAATTAACCGAGCATTGCCATGTTTACTTTTTCATGGTAATTTATGACATATGCTAGCTTATTTAGCAGCTTAGTGCATAGCTTGATACGAAACAAGTCTTGCATTCCATTTGCATCTCAATAAAGGAGCTAAAAACTTCTGGGGGTGGTCAACCATGTCTTGGATGGGACGGGGTCAAAATTTTATGACAGTACATATTCATCCTGAATATCAATTATATAAGGTAAATTCTCAGTATTAAATAACTTAATGAGCTTTGAACAGAAAGAGCACTAGAGGTATACTACAATATCAACTTGAGTGTATACTTGCTGACCAATTAAAGTTTTGTTGAGGAGACCAAAGTTTGCAACAATACAAACCACATCTGATTCTCAAGTGGCCATATCTTTATTCTCCCAGAATTCCCTAGTTACATCACATACTATGTCTTGAGATACTACAGAAAGCAGTTGTTACAGCATTTGAATTCAGTAACATTACAATCATAATGTTCACAGCTTACATGACAGGTACATGTAACATATATCAAATAAATTTATTGACTACAGCAGTGGGATTTATAATAAATCTCTTATTAGATGTTTTGGTGTGTAGTATCGCTGTATATTTTTACTCTTTGTTTGTATTTTGACTCAACCTACGGGCTTGTCAAAATACAGCACAACTCCTAAAAATATAGAGCGATACTACATACCAAAACACCTAATAAGCGATTTATTATAAATCCCACTGCTGTAGTCAATAAATTTATTAGTGAAACAGGAGAGTGTGACAGTTTTGCGTGCGCGCACTGACCTGTCTGGCAAACACGTTTTCTACTGTACAAATAACAGTACTGTGCAATATCGCTGTACATTTGTACTGTTATTTGGGTGGGTATTAGCTGCAGTTGGGTAATAAAATGATCTACATGTATTCTATAGATGAAACATAATTAAGGAAAACTGGGCTGAGTGTCTAACCTTGACAGTTTCAGTGCTGTAAAAACTTGTGTCAACTGAAAAAAGACAAAAATTAGATTATTATCAATCAAACTGCAAAAGATAACATGGATTGTTATATTTTTTACATAACCTTTAAAGTACCATTGAATCTGCATCTTATGTTTTAAGAAGTTTTCATAAAGCAAATAAAATAGATTGATGTTAATTAAATAGAATTAATGATTAAGAACATCACAGGGTAGGTTACCATTGAAATTCACTTCTCTCCTCAATCACAAAAAAATCAGCTGTTGCGTACTTTTTGAGTTGAGTCTACTTCTTCAAAAATTAAAAGATGGAGGGAAGAAATGTGACTGATAGTCTGCCACACGATGTTGACTTCTTGTAGAATTAACAATGAATTTAAATTTTAAGTTCGTGACAATTTCAAAAGGCTACAGTATGTAAAGTTCTTCTCTGGGTCATCAATTTCGTGCAGCACACACCTGCTGGGATGGCCCACGTTTGAAAGAGGAAAGTTAAAATCTTCTCTGCAATGCCATCTGAGATGAAATGGAAATGAAGAGGATTACGGCGGTGGAACAGAATGGACTTGATAAGGGTTACTACTTGTCGACTTGCATTGTGACCTGCACAGACCACTGCAACGTGTATAACCTGCAAAAAGACAACACTTCACTAAACTTGAAGTCAATAATAACAACTTACTTTTATAAACAACTGATTGTAGGTACATGTATTTGCACCCCTTGCTGATTGTGCAGTTTAATCTTGAAAAAACTGCATTGGCAATGAGTAGAACTGATTCAGTTTATTGACATAGTACACTTTAAAGACTTTCATGTATATAACATTGTAAACACTTGACTACATATTTCTGGCCTTGGATGGCATGGTTTTGGTGTTGATAGAAGCTTAAGGGAAGAGATGAGATCAAAAAAAATACACATGTCTTTGACCCTTAATTTTTTGCAAGTAAAGAAACCTGTGGAACTTATGTGTGACTGGTTTGTCAAGCCAGACAGTATTCCAGAAAAGCCTGGTTTGAATACTGAGTAAGTATATGGAGAAGAAGGGTTGTCAAAAGAAGCCAGTTGTCAATAAAAATCACCATCTGCTGGGCTATTTGTCTTATTCTTTAGAAAACGATGGCAACATCAGCTTCCTACGTTGTGTAATGTACTTCAAAACTTTCTGACAATACTGTATGGAATCCAGTTGTCAATACATGTAATACAGTCATGTCAGTTCATTGCTTAGTGCATGTTATTTTAAGGACTAGTTTAGAATGTAAATCCCATTTACTCCACTTGGATTACTGTGAACAAATCAATTACATTTCCCAGAAAAAGGTTCTGATCAGAAACTCTAAGTTACAGAGAGACAAAAATGCAACAATATAGTGTTAGTGATATCCTACCTCACAGCGATACAGGTTAAGATCATTCATGCATGGTGAAGTCTTGTTTTTCTTTGCGGCTGATTTAATAGTTAAAAAGGAAACAAGGACAATAACCATATCAGTAAATTGTGCATGCTACAGAAACTAGCTAGATAATTAATAATCAAGCTATTGTTGAAATCTACATTTATATAATAAACAAAGACACGGGCTCTGGGAAACCAGGATAGACTATGCCTACATGAACATGGGCTACTTCAATACAATCACTTGGCCTGGGGATAGACTTAACTTTCTTAAAATCTTTAACACCATTGTCTTAATTTCTTAATTGTTTTTAAGGTTGTGTTCCTTGATTAATAATATACATGAAAAAATTACTTGATTCTGATTGGCTGAGAGCAGTGCAGTTCCAGTGTAACAACAGTGTAAAAAGTGTAACACCAGTGCAAACTACAAAATCGTAATTCTAGATTATGATTGGCTGAAAGAAAATAGGAAATTTTCTAAGCCAATGATATCACATAAAATGATGACGAAAATTTAGAGCAGAAACTTTGAAAAACGTTTTCTCAAATGAGAAAAAATGGCTTCAAGAAAGATCATCCGGCATGTCCTCCATGTGAATTTTTTTTCATGTTTATATTTTTAATAAGTTATCATATGTTCTTTTCGTTCAATTTGGAATAATTAGCACTTGTGAGTGTTTATAAACGCTCACTCATTCAAACTAATTCCAAACTGAACTTGAAACCGTGTGATTACCTATACTAATCATTGATAACAATTACAATTTCCCCAAATGTGATTGGTGCATAAACTGCTGTATTTTCCTCTAATTAATCTACAAATTTGTAATGGGATAGTGTAATTGGACAGTTGACTGTAACTGTACACCTGTAATCGGACAGTTACATGAGCCAATCATTTTAAGTCCTCTCCAATAAATCCAGCGATCACAACATTGATTACAATCACTATACAGTGAAATAACCAATTCAAGAGACTGACTTTATAAAATTGTGGAAATTTAGTCTCCGGTGACTGTTTTCAAAGAAACTTAGTGGCAATTTTGCAAGCTGTTCTCCACATTTTTAACTATGATATTTAAAAATGACTATTAAAAGCTCCTTTTCAAATGAAAGTTTAACTTTTGTGGGGAATTGTAATGGTTATGATTAATTGGTAACAGGACACTGTGTCATCCAATTCAGCCTGTAATCATACTCATGATTAATAATGGTAATTGAACTGAGTGGAGTGCAATTTGGTCTGAAATCATATGAGTGATTTCAAAATCGAACGAGCGCACAGCGCGAGTTCGATTTGAAATCACAAGTATGATTTCAGACCAAA